GCTTCATCACACCTTCTATCTCACACAACATTCTCTAGGTTGAAACTAGAAACTAAAGAATCAAGGGTCTTTCTGGAACTTTTTACACATCTGTGATGGTACTTTCCTTTCAACACAAGGTAATCATTGCAATCACAGTTGCAATTGCCAATTTTACTTCCAATAAACACTGACTTTGAGCTCTTCAATCAAGCATGTTGTTAGCATTCTCCAGTGTGCTTTACTTCACAACTTTCTCTAATGAGCCATTTTCTGCAGTTCCAAAAATCAAGGCCTCATGATGGACACAACTTGCAGCATGTCATCATTACCAGGATAGTTATATTCACCACTCAAAATCAGAATATGGCTTTTAATTTAATTTTTGTAACTGTCAGTATAGGGTATGCACTTAGGGCAGTCATTTTTTCACTACAAAGCAAGTGTGTGCTTGGAGTTTGAAGACAGATCAATTACTGTGAATGGGGCCCAAGGGACTCTTAAATGAAATACAGCTTTCACCTTTGAGAAGATGCTTCTTACATTCTTTTTCCCTGGACTTGCATAACGCATCAACACACTCCCAACCTTGTCTGTGACATATCCTAAGGCAGTTGCTTTTAAGCTGGATTCTTTTAAATCCACATGCATTCTGGTGATTTGTTTGACACTGTTTTCTTCTTGATACCAGACTCCTGAGAAAGAGAGCTTCTAAGCACATAATCACAAGTATTCTTCTATGGAGAGTTAAAGGGCTTTTTTTGCACTTTTGAAAGAGTCACTGCTAGAAATTAAGATGTAATACTAATGACTCATAGCATTAATTTCCCTCTCCCTTCTGACCTCACCTTCTCAAGTCACCATGCAATTCTAATCTGTTCTCAATAGAAAGGCATCTGATCTGTGATAAAATACCCCAAAACAGTTAAAAACTGCTAAACACACACAGGCATAGACTAATGATTTTGTTCAGGTAGGTTAGGCAAATTCTGATTTAACAAAGGAGAGGTTATTTTATCCTCACCTCACTCACTTTCAAATAAAGACTTGATAATAGTTTAGAAGACCAAGGATTACCAGGGATACAGATAGGACTCTTCAGCTAAAGCCTCACTTGTGCCTGAGTAGTGAATACCAGGTGCAAGAGTACTGTGCAAACAAGGACAGGCATCTACTCCTTCACTTGAAAACAGGACAATGTGGTACAGTGAATACTTACAAAGAAGTTACAGAAGTGATTACACTACTGTAATAGCTTCTGGTGCACTAGAATTCAAGTTACCTCTAGGACTCTTCATAACTGTATCTTCAGTAGATCAAGAATATGAAAAAGCTTTGAAAAAAATGCTCTAACAACAAACTATTTTCCATTGTCACTTCTGATATGTCTTTATGGAATGACTTGTATAGGTATCTGGCTTTTTAAAGCTCTTCTTAAGTTTGGAACATCCCTATACAATTACACATCCTGAAGCAACCCTCCAATAGAGTTGTGAAAAAACACAAACTTAAGACAATATATTTGATTGTACTGTTCCTCAGAAAATACTACTAGACTTTCCAGAAAAAAAGCAGAAATGCCCTTCTGGAGATAAAATACTGTATTTCCAAGGTGGGTGTTGAAGAGATAAAGAGCAAAGAAAGAAGAAGAATAAGAAACACAAGAAATACAAAGTCAAAAACATTTTTACCTTGGTACAAGCAGCAGTAACTAACTTCTGGGCATTGCTACTTGCACAGCAATTACAATTGCTGACATGGGAAAAAAAAACAGTGGTACAGTTGCTGATTTTACACAGCACTTTTTGTTAGAAATTCAGCTAATCCACAGATTAACACATAAACCACAATAAAAGCAGAATCAAAATTCTTGGAGCTCTGCCACGGTTAGATATCATTCTCTGTATCTGAAAAAAAACACGACCTCCAGTGGTAAAAACAAAATCCTGACCAAGAGAGCCAGAGCAAATACCACTGTAGGGGGTTCCTTTCCTCACAATCCCACTTCCATCTTAGTCACATCTTTACATCAAACAAGAAGGACCTACAGAGCCTTCCACCTAAGTTTTTGGATTTTGCCTACTCATTTCCTAACATAAGGACCTCTGAATGTTAGATGATCACTGACTCTCATTTTCAGGAATTTCAGGTATCTTAGCAAAGACTGAAGTATTTTTCACAAAGGTATTAACTTTATTTCCTATGCCTTCTGAGATTAAGCTCCCACTGAAGGCATTAAAGCTTTATGCTTGCTCCTTCAGCAGCTGAATGTTCTTTATAAGGGGAAGTGTAAACCAAAAAGATTCCAAGCATCACCTGCAAAGGGTATAATACACTTATTCCTCAGGAAAAATATGCAGCCTTTTCATAGTCTTGTGCAAATTGTCTGCAAAAAGAGAAGTAACTCCACCCCGTAGGTGTAGAGGGTTAACCACTTCATGCCAATTCTGATCACACAGAATGAGTAATCCAGAGTCATCATTGTAAAAGCAGCAATCAGGCTGCCTTCCAAGGAAAACAGAGGCAACAAGTACATCTTGGCTACTTTTGTCAATATATTAAGAGATTTGGTTCACTTTCTGTGTAAACATTGTTTCTTCTAGGTTACTAATGTGTAAGATAAATATTGCGAGATTCTACTATTTCTGACATTTATTGCCATTCCTAAAAGAACAAATGTCTCCAGCCAGACTTTCATGCACCCTCTGCAATCTCCGAAAATACTTTATGTACCCAATGAGGGAAAAAAGAACTGAAAAACAAAACCTCAGAACTAAATTTGTTATTTAACTGCCTCGACAGAAACACTTGTATTTATCAGATAAAGCCCTGTTTCAGGACCAGGTTGGATAGGGTCATGGGCAACTTGATCCTGTGAACGGCATACCTGCCCAAGGCAGAGGGGCTGAAACTAGATGATCTTTAAGGTACCTTCCAAACTAAGCCTTCATGATTTTATCATTCACTACAATCTCTTTTTCCAATACTTCTGCAAAAGAGAAGGAACATGGCAATGTTCTTTGTATTGGGTTTTGGCAGCAGTGGGGGGAGCTACAGGACCAGCCTCTGAGAGAAGCTGCCAGAAGCTTCCCCCCTGCCTGACGGAGCTAATGCCAGCTGGCTCCAAGATGGACCTGCAACTGGCCAAGGCTGAGCCCACCCGAGATGGTAATAGCAGCTCTGTGACACCTCATTTAAAAAGGGGAAAAAATTATTGGGCAAAAGTAATTGCATCCAGAGAGAGGAGTGAGAATACGTGAGAGAATCAGCCCTGCAGACACCAAGGTCAGCGCAGAAGGAAGGGCAGGAGGTGCTCCAGGTGCCTGAGCACAGATTCCCCTGCAGCCCCGTGGTGCAGACCATGGTGGGGCAGGACACCCTCCTGCAGCCCGTGGAGATCCACGGGGGAGCAGAGATCCACCTGCAGCCCATGGAAGATCCCAGAGCAGGTGGATGCCTGATGGAGGCTGTGACCCCTGGCAAGTCCACACTGGAGCAGAGTCCTGGTAGGACTTGTGGCCCCTTGGAGAGAGAAGCCCACTCTGGAGCAGGTTTGCTGGTGGGACTGGTGATCCCAGAGGGAACCCATGCTGGAGTGGCCAGTTTCTGAAGGACTGTCTCTCCTGGGAGGAACCCCATGCTGGAGCAGCTTCAGCTCCTCCCCGAGGAGGAAGCAGCAGCAGAAACAACCTGTGATGAACTGATTGTATTCTGCACTGACAAGGAGAGGAGGAAAAGAATCAGGGATAAAGTTAAGTCCAGAAAGAAGGGAGGGGTGGGGGAATGGTGCTGCCAAGATTAGTTTTACTTCTCACTATCCACTCTGATTTTGATTGGTAATAAATCTTATTAATTTCTCAAGTTGAGTCTGGATTTGTCTATGACAGTAACTGGTGAGAGATCTCTCCCTGTCCTTAACCTCAACTCATGAAACTTCCCTTGTATTTTCTCTCCCTTGAAGAGCTGACAAGAAGAGTCACAGAGCAGCTTTGGGGAACACCCGACATCCCACCAGGCCAAACCACACCCCTGAAAGGGAAAATAAGGAAAAAATTCCCTAGTACAGCTGTTCTTGAACAAAATCCGATATCCAGGGAAAAAAAAAATATATTGAGCTGTTTCTTCTTCATCTAGCCAAAGACTTTTCTTTGAGGAAAAGATATTCCATCTCTCATTTATACCACCTGGAGACAAGTCCTGGGAATTCTTCCTGATAGCTGACACTCAGTCCAGACTCAGAACAACGATTTGATCTTTTGGAGCCTAATTGTAATGACTGACATAAGAGAATGGGACTCATTTGCTTCTGTGTGCTACCACTTAATATGAAGGGATTTACAACATTTAGTGTAATCAGAAAGGGCAAATCCCAGAACAACGTGTTAGATAGCCTCCATTACTGTTCAGTTTTATAAATAGCAGATTTAGATTTGGCTAAGCACACATGCCTACAATGGGGCATTACAAGGCCCATTTATGGAAATTATAAAAGGAATTATAACAAAATACATAAAACGGAAATAAAAAGTACTTTCAAGTGTATGTCTGTGTCTGATGGCGAAACCAAGAAATATGTGAAATTATTTGATTCTCAAAGTTTACATACACTTGATGGCGAAACCAAGAAATATGTGAAATTATTTGATTCTCAAAGTTTGTAGCCTATTCTTTTCACACTTGAGAATTCTGTATCTTAGCAACTCTCAAAAGCACAAAGCGAATTATTGAAGACAATTTTCTTGAGCTTAGCCATGTTTTGGCATTTTCTGCTGTGATTGTCTGCCCCCTTATAAGGTGCAGAGGATTAGAAAATTAAGTTATTTTAATTTGGAGATGACTGGGCCATTGAAATATTCTAATTACACACAGTACTATACTTCTTGTATAGTATATATACAAGTATAGTATATATACATCTGTGACAGTGCATACACACAAAAATGCACTTTATACGCAAAAAATCACCTGTGTTCCTTCTAGTCTGCAGGACAAAGATTAGTAATCACAGCTGAAAAGCTTACCTGGATCTGGGCTTTGTTTCCAGCTGTTATATTAGATATTGTCCAGCATGCTTCCTTTTTGATAGATTCTTTTGGGCTGCTTAGCAAGTGCAGCAAACTCTGCAGAGCTGAACAATTCAGAATTACCTGAATACAACAGGAAAAACAAAACACACCATAGAAGAAATTTAGGATGAAGAACCACAGGAACAAGGAGTACAATGTCTTGAAAATGTAAAAAACATACTCTATTAGATGATCACAGAGGTTTTGTTTTTTAAAAACAAAAACACTATATGCACAAAAAAACCAACAAAAACAAAACAAACAAAAAAAACACCACAGCAAGAATAATATATGCACAAAAAAAACCAACAAAAACAAAAACAAAACAAAAAACACCACAGCAAGAATTAAGAAAAATGTCTGCAGGAAAACTACCAAGTTTTTCAGGAAAGAGATTACACCTTCATAATGATTTCAGTGTGATGTTAAAACAAGAAGATATTAAGCACATTATAACAAAAAAAAAAATTATGGTATTTTCCTGTATTTTTGTACAATTGTAAGCACCAACCGCTTCTGTTTCTACATCTGCTGGCACTGTGGTGCAGAGTGTGACCAGTGTTGTATGCAGTGACATTATAAATGGACAATTCTTACTTTAAAAATTGCAAAAACCCAGCAATTTTACAGTGCAGAAAAACTGCAACAAAATTTCTTTTTCCTAAATGACAGAAGTACAACGGAAAACGCCCGGGAACTTGGATGTTACAAGACAGCACTCTTGATTATGTCATACGTGATAATGAAGGACTTTTTGATCTGCTACAAGGGCATAACAAGATTCAAAAACTGAAAAATGAAAAATCTTTTTTTTTTTTTTTAATTCAATTCTAACTTCTAACAATGAAGCCAAAAATTGGGAGAGTATACCAAGAAGCACAGCAGTTTTGCTTCATGTGGCAAAAGCAGCACCTTGGAAAGCACAGTGTGGTACAGAATTTTACAAGAAATACTCCAGTCAAACTGAATCATGGTCATGACTTCTGATCATGGAATCTGAGGACTTAATTCCCTTGTTTGCATCGCCCCACAGTCTTAAAATCTTTATACTCCCCACTAAGACTAAAATAGCAAAGATCATGATTCAGTATTTTATCAGGTGTCTGCTGGGACAATTTTTTTTTCTTCATGCATACTACTTCTTTTTTTTCTTCATGCATACTTCATGGTTTTATCCATGTTCAAGCACTGCCAATTGTTAACAGCTGAAAATGAAAGAAAAAGTAAAAGCAAGTTTGTGCCCCAAGGTTTTACAGAGAAATTCTTGAAAAACTTGTATGTTGCATTCACATTCAGAAATATATCAGCTCTCAAAGCTGGGCTCTTCCTTCTGATTAATGATTTTTACATGCATCCTGTATCACTTTTTTTAGTATACAGCACAGTCTGTGGGCAGGACTATCAAGCTATGCTACCTATTTAGTTCTCTAGAATTTTAGGAATGCTCATGGTATGCTCCTCGGAAAAAATCATGCACAACAAAAATGTTTAAATGATTTTTAATTAAAAATTTAAGATTTATGCAGTATTTAATAACCTGTATTGCATGTGAATTAGTGATCCCTTGTGGTTTTATCTTTAACGGAATTATTAAATCCCACCTCAATCATTCTTTATGACTGATCTGTGAAACAAATGCCATTGAGAAGAATACAACAATGCCTCTGCAATTCAGCTACACAAAATACATTGTAACAATTAAAAAATCATGTTATCTTCCTCCTAGGAATAAGACACTGAAACAGTGCCCTGGTGCTGCTAACCCATTTCTAACTCTGGTCTCAGAGTCACAGAACTACAGAAGCATCCCAGTGACAACTTAGTGCCTCTGAAGCACCAGGTCTCCTGCCTTCCAGTTTAATTCCAATACAGTGGTGGGAGTCACTGCCTCCTACCTATGCTTCTCCAAAAAAGTGTCCAGACACAGCCACACACCACCCAAAATAGGAGCAGACACTTGTTTTCTGTAGCCACAATATATTCTGAAAAATCCTTTTGCCAGGATTTTTCTCCTGAGGAGCCTCAGGACAGAAATGTAAACAATTAACCCAGGAAAGAAATGTAAACAATTAACTATCTGCTGCTGTGGAATGCAACATGTGTATCTGTGATTGGGGCATGTTGGTTGTTTCTAATTAATGGCCAATCAAGTCAGCTGGCTTGGACTCTCTGAGAGTCACAAGCTTTTGTAATTCATTCTTTTCCTGCTCTTTCTAGCCTTCTGATGAATCTTTACTCTTTTACTATAGTTTTGGTATGTAATTTTTAATATAATACATATAATAAATCAGCCTTCTGAAACATGGAGTCAAGATTCATGTCTCCTCACACAGGGCACCAACCATAGTTTTCCATCATAAATATGATGTATTTTCATCATATATATGACAGATGCATCACAGATTGGCAACAGCACTGAATGTGACAGGCCTTTGACAGCAATACCAGGGTACATCACTCAGCACAAAATTCAGCCTAAGAGACAGATTTGCTTTAAATACACCAAAAACATCCCACCCTTGAGGGGTATTGCACAACTGCCCAGAAGTCCCAGACACACCTACCTAACAACCATCACCAGTTCAGGACTGAACAGAAAAATGGAAAACCACCACACTTTGAAGCAATTAGTGTCACCAACCTTCACTTTCAAACTTCAAAAGGAACAAGAGGAGGTGCTTGTGAACAGGTTACCACAATTAGCAGAAAGATGAACTGCAGTACAACACAAGAGAAAGTTCATCCATACCTGGGTCTGGATATCATCTCCTGTAACGATGTTTCCCACAGCTCGTAAGGCAGGAGATACAACTTTGTAGTCATTGTGCCTAAAATTGACAAAGAAAAATATAAATACTAACCTTCCTAAAGCATCTCCAGCTTCACATTCTCAAGGAAAGAACATCTATCAGCTAGGGGAAAACTTCCCTGATAAATCTGACTTTCACTACCTAAATAAACACTCTCATTTTAAACTAATGGCAAACCTTTCTAGGGTTTCTAAATATTTAAACTTTCAGATGTCATTCAGCAGCATGAAAATAAAACATTAAAAGAAAAAAAGTACTTCAGAGTACTTCTAAGCATTCTCAGGAGGAAAAAGTAATTATCATTAACTATAAAATACACTTAATGTAGCATGCACAAAGGCCAAGAATGAGACAGAAGAACAGGGATAGAAGTTGTGTGTTTAACCCATCAAAACCTATTTATCATGTTCCATCATCATATTCATCCCTTCATCATCATTGTTAAATCAGAACTGGAATAGGAAAGGTGAAGTGAGAAATGTTTTTCTCAAATCAAAACTTTATAAAAAGCTCCTTAGAGGCAATATGTTCCATTCATTAATCCAGCAACACATTTGCTCTAATGTTAGAGGTCATAATTGTCTTTTTATTTACATCACTGAAATGTCTTTTTATTTACATCACTGAAAACCATTATTCCTTGTTCTTAGGCCATTGAATGGTCCATGCCCTGACCTTGGATCTGAAGGAATGGCTCTAAACAAGGCCAGTCTCAGTGACCCCGACTCCCACAGCTACACTTTACTGACCAAAATGCTCATCTACTCTTCTACACTACAGGTTGAGGAAATTATTTATATTTCAAGTCCCTGGTACTGTCAATTCTAAATTGAACTATTTCTTATAGTTTTATCTTTGATATCCTTTAGGTAATTTCCTTGTTAGGTAGCAATAATATGGACTTCAATGACATAAGCAAAATTCCAATACACATCATGGATTTTACAAAAATGTAGCTTTTAGATGCAGGAAAAAAAAATCTCTTAAGAAAGAGCAAAATTAGTACAAGAAAAGTTCCATTGCTTTTGTTACTCATGACAAATAGAGAACACTAAACAGACAGGTAAAATAAAAAAATCAAATCTTGCTCTTTGGAAATCACAACATTTCAGGATCTATTTAATTAAATTCCTTATTGTTATAATCTTGATGTCAGGGAAAAGAATGACGCTTTCTTGCAACAGATTTCTTACATCAGCAGTTCCACAAGTCTTCTGCAGACTCCTGCATCAATCACAGCCTGGATTTTATCATTGGGGCCATCAGACAAATAGGACAAAGCCCAGCAGGCATCAGCTAACACATCTGTATCATTGACAAAGAGCAGCCAGGAAAGCACACTAAGACAAGGTGAAACCTGCAAGACATTAAGAGGAGATACATACAATTAAAAGGGCCAGAAGACCTATTATTATGTCAGCTAATTTGGTATGTCATTATTGGATTAGGCACTGGCATCTTAAGATTCAATACTCAGAAAATTTCAGATCTAGCTAGCACTTCTGTGCAGGCCTGAAGCTATACAAGCATGGAGAAGCATGTCTCCAGAACAGCATCCCAGCAACTCTTCAGCCTCTACAGAACAACATCTGCCAAAGTAACTCAGACTTGTTCACTAAGATTTGCCAGGTGCTGCTCTATAGCAGCCAAGATGTGCAGAGTTTTGTTCTGCTATAGGACAGTCATCTCCAGTACATGAACAGTAGCAAAAAAGTGTAAGACAGCCATGTTAAAACAGTGGTCATGAATGTCTGCCCAAAGGACTAAACAAAAAACTTCATCTGGAAGACAGCCATCAAATATTACAGAATTTCTCTGATGAAACATTCCTTCTGTTTAGTTTAATTTTCACCACCCTTAAACTAATAATTTTGTTACCACTACTTCACAACACATTTTCTTTCAAGCATCTCTTACCTTGGCAAAATCAGGAGGAGGGTTTTTCCCTCTGCAGAGATTGGACAGAGCCCATACAGCATTTCGGGTCATAGTGAGACGATTCTGTTTTGAAAGTAATCTAAAACAAACCAACAAAAAATTCTAACCATTGCTTTCAAAAAATCAAAGCCAGGCAATCCCATTAACTGTGTGAACCATTAAATCCAATTCTTTTTAACATACACCAGGGCAAAATATGGGGTTTTTTTTCTATGAAAACACATCCTAAAGAAAATCATCCTTGATGGCTACTAACACACATGCTAGACACAGGTACCTAGTATCCCAACAAGAACTGTAACATTACACTAAATTTCACTCAAATGCTTAGATACTTAGATGCTTGATGTGGCAGATTAACAGTCAGATGAAGTACAGGAATTGTGACAAAATTACTCTAAGAAGGAGGATATGTAGGTAATTTTGAAGAGAACTCTCATAGCTAAATTGCATTTTTATGTCAGTCTCAGACTATGAATCCCACTTTGGCCTAGGAAAATGCAGAAAGACCCACAAGTGTAACAATTCAGTTTATTTTTCTCAGAGCCATCTCCCACTGTACCAATGTCTTTATGAGAGGACAGGAGAATTCTCCTGCTGCAGAGTCTGCAAAGGACAGAGACTGAGTAATTGTAATTTGGACATGACAACACAAGATGGTGTCATTGTTTCAGCAATGATATGCTTCTTAAACAGAGGATCATCAAGATAATTAGCAGGGTAGAGAAACGACATGCAGTGGGATGTCAGTGACCTGGATTTGTTCAGCCTTAGAAGGAGATGGTGCAAGAGGAGATACAACCGCTGCCAACAACACTTTAACAGGTGGATATACAAAAGAGGAAGGCAGATCCTTCTCAAAGGTGCATAGTGACAGGATGAGGCACCATCAGGACAGAAAATTCTGATTAGGTATCAGAACACTGTGTTTCACCACTCCATGGTCAAACACTGCAACAGGTTACCCCAGGTAGTTACGGAATCTACTTTTGATGTTCCAAATTTGACTGGTTAAGTAGTTGAGCAATCTAATCTGATCTCACCTGCTATGAAGAAAGGCTTTGACTAGATGACCTCCAAAGGTGCCTTTCAATTTAAATTATTCTGTGACTCTAAAATAAGCCCAGACATCCACCCACACTGTAGAATAAAATAGTTCCAGCTTAGCTGCTTCTAAAATGTTTCCCTTTTGGCTTCATTTAAAAAGTAGTTCAAGACTCCCCTTTAAAAACTGCAGTTAGTCCACAATGAAAGAAAATAGTATTATTATTCTTCAAGGCAAAACCCAAATTTCAGTCATATCAGGCACTCAAGCAAAATTCTGAAAAACATATTAAAACAAACTTACTGCAATAAAGGGGGCAAGATATTACAGTCCAAAACATAGTCTCTGCACATAGTGCTGTCTCCAGCAATGTTGCCAAGAGCCCATACAGCCTGCAATGAAAAACAGGGTAAAAATTGCTTTTATTCTCAAAATTCCACCAGTTTAACATATGTAATAGAATTGTGAGATAATCTATTCTCTCTGTTAGGTCCTGGACAATGTACAGAAGGGAATGCATTCTGGTTGCCTATTACATATATACACTCAAGCTCATTATATGATTCAGGAATATTTGTAGATATCTAAGAGATAACAGCAAACATGTATCCCTCCACAGCCTGTGAATGCAGACATACCCTTGCTCTGACCACAATGTAAGAGATGAGCTCACCTCCACGGGCTTAGGAACATCTAATTCTACCCTCCCTGTTCACGCCTAATTTAAAACCAGACTTTTGTAGCACAGGTCAAGCAAGTCTGTATCTACCCAAAAATGTTTGTGTGGAACAGCCCACATTAGTATTTACTACAAAGGCATAAAAGCAAACATTGTTTACACAGTCATGGATAAAAATGAGAATCTATGTTCAAGATAAATCAATATTCAGAATCAAAGAGTTCAGGTGGGCCTGGACATAAATTCTTTAAAATAAAACTATACGAGACAGAACCAGCGTTGCTGATTAAGTCATATGCATGGCAAAATGTAAGGGTTTGGACATCAGTACTACCCCAACTTCATTTTGAGAAGATCAAAAATACCAGAATTAAAGCGGCACGAAATCTATCCTGTGTAGTATGCTGAGAACAAAAGATTAAATTGGTTTTGATTTATACATTTGGGCCAAGTGGTGTTTTATGTATCACTGTCCACTGGTATTACAGCTATAACTTTAAAAAGTAGAAATAGTCTATATGTCAAGTATGAAAGCAATTTTATGAATTCCATACAAATTACAATATTTTGTCACACAAGAAAGCTTATGAAGTTCACATTTGCTATTTACTTCAAGTTAGCAGAAGACTAAGTGTCATATCAAATAGATACATGTATCAGTTTATTTGGTTGGCTTATTTGGCTTTTAGCTTTACAGACACATATGTCTACACAACCACTGAAGTACTCCAAATTCTACATACAGAAGACAAAAGCAATCCTGTTTGTCATGGATAGCACCTGAATGTCCTCTCCAAATTTCTCTTCAGTTGAAGGCTACATATTTAGCTGCAGTAAAATGAGTAATAGTGCATAACTATTTCTTCAACTGAACAAAGCAAGTTCCTCACACACAATAAACATGTTCTTCCATCTCTCTATACCTATTTAAAATAAAATGCTCCTCTAAAAAACTGACAGAATTGCCAAATTTTTTACTAAAGAAAACCTGAAATAAATGTATTTATTTATTTTCAATATGGTGTCAATGAAATTAAATGCATTAGGTTTCTCTGTAAGATGTTTTTAAATGGTGGCAAGAAGATTCTACTTTAGAAAACAAGACTCCAACCACTGTAGAGTTCCAAATGCACTAGCAAACCCTGCAAAATGAATACAGCTAAAACCAGAAGTACATACAGAATGTAGATGGAGATGTCAGCATGCTAGATACAAAATAAAAAGACTCCTCCTCTGTACCAGCACTACCAACAACAGCATAGGATCGGAGCCATTAAACTGCAAGTTGTGAAGAGAGCAGGTGACTGTTCTGGGGAAGGATTAGTTTGTTTTGTTTTCTACTCTTTTCCAGGCTTCTGCTGTCAGCCACAGTCAGGGCACGAGACTTTAATGACCTGTGCTTGCTATGAAACAGCACAGCCATTATAACTACACAATGTTTTCCCAAAACTGAACTTCATCATCATTTCTCATTCTAGCTCTTATTCTTTTTACAACTATTGTGACAACAGTTGATATAAAAAGTGTAACTTTGATTTGGCAGCCTCTTGGACTCAGCACACAGAAGACAGCTACCAGAAAAATTTAGCATAAGAGCCAGAATATATGCCACCTCCTGCAAAATGTCATTCTGTCAGAACTTTAAGGAGCCACACCAGTTGTTCACTCCAATACTTGCATTTCTACAGCAAGGAGAAGCCTGAGGAACGAACCAAAGATTTCAGACAGTCCTAAATAAATTTGTGAATTTTCTGAAAATACTCGGGGGGGAAGGGGGGCAGGAAGAATAATTCTCTTTCACTGAAGATGTGAGTGATTTTGTATGAAGGCACAGTTTCCCTGCCTGGACACCCTTACACAGGTAAAAAACAAGGAAGCCCTGTTTCATTTGTCTGTGGTCTTTGTTTCTGCCATTATAGCGATATCTATTTTTAAGGTTGACAAGAGTGATAATCACTTAATCCAAGAATCCATTCTGACCCTGAATGACTGACTGGTTTTGCAACAGCAAATCTCACATCAAAAATTCTGACCAGAGAAGTCAAATAGCACCTCTGTTTTCCCATTCTTCATTGTTTTTAAGGCAAGGAAAGTCTGGCTGTGTGGTCTGGTGTCACAGGAGCTGGTAAGAGATGTTGTAACAAATCCTAGTAATGCTAATCACTGATAGGACACAATTAATTGAAATACCATGTGCTGGGGTGACTTTAGAAAAATATGCAATGTTTCATTCAATAAGGAAGATGTCTCTCCTTAGGGAATTACTTCAGCTCTTCAGATAAGTAAGGAATGGAAGTCAAGCTCATTTAAACTCTTCTCATCAAACACTGCCATAAATACAAAGCTCTGCCATGGTTTTCACAAACACATGAACAATGACAAGTTTCTTCAGAGTTTGTCTGAAAAATATTCAATGATTTCCATTTCTTCTTTTGTGCACTCCTCAAGATGCAAATATTTGCCACAACATTTTGGCTTTGGCTTCATTCTACACAACTTAAATATTTTCATGTTCATATTTCATTCAATTTTAGAGCTTATTCAATCAAAAAATATTTGACTTAAAAAAATCCATTTCAGTACCTTCTACTATCTAAATCCCAGCTTAAAGATTACATTAATTTTAAGATTTATAGCCTGATTTTAACCAACATCTTAGGTAGAAAGCTCTGTGGAAACTGAAAGTGCAAATGTTGCCTTGTTAATTGACAGCACCTATTTTTATACGCTTGTATAAATTTCTATTTGCTGCTAACAGCGGAGTAAAGTTTGTTGTAAATCTTAAATTTATTTTACTCATCACTGAACTCCAGTTCAGTTTTTTACTGCAGTGCTGGACAACTTTAGTAGTCAGTAGAAGTAAAGTGCAAGTCTTGTAGAGTACTGTAGAACTACATGGTGCCTTCTGTGAATAATCCACGTGCTTTTTGACAATTCTCCACTATTCCCTGGATTCTAAAGATTCTCAGCCATTATTTCTTTGGATATTTAAACTAAGTGCTTAATCCAATCACCAACACTGAGTTTGCCTCTCAGTGGAGAAGAAATATGACAAAGAATCAACCCTTTCTCAACATTTGGATGCTGATTCGGGAAAAGGATCCAATGCTGAGATGAAGATGGTGAAGATTAGCTTGCATGCAAGTGTGATTGGCTAAGTGAACACAAGGAAGGATACCAGAAGGACACATTCCTAGGAGATGACTGCTACCATGTCCCAACACAGAAAACATCGTTCTTTCAGTGGCTGGGGTGGTTATAGCTCCTTCTCATATCTCATCTGGCAAAGAGAGAAAGCAGCTCATCCTCACACCTTGACTGTTTGTCCTGATTTTGATTACCAAGAGCTTGTTAATAGGACTGCTGATGTAAAAGCCAAACAGAGTCTGGACACCAGACTCACTGGTCAGCTCTGCCAAGCAAGCGATGGTTACCAAAAGGAGTAGCAGTACAACCAGAATGGAAAAATACTGAGGGAGAAACATACTGGTTTCCTCAGCTGAAAATGCAAACTTTCCCAAAGGTGAACAGGGCAGCAGGGGATGCTCATGCCACCATCTGTCACATACCTGTCACTGTGAGACAATCATGATCCTCCTCAACAGGCAGCACAACGCCTTGCATGGGTTTGGAAGGAAAATCCAAGTTCATCAAGGAAACCCAAGCTGACATCTGGGTTTTAAGTACCACAGCAGGGGAAGTCAGAAAAGAACAGCAGCTAAGACACTGCTGAAGCCACATCAATCTTAAGCATGTCTAAAGAGCTTTGATGGAATCTTTCAATACAAATCATTTCAGGTAGGTAGATCAAAATTTATAGATGTCTTTTGGAAGAAAAAACCTGTGGTAAGTAGAAAAGGGCTAGGACATGTGCCCCTGACTAAACTTAAGAATCAGTACACCAAAAACAGAAATGGGGAGAGAAGGGAGATGTAGCCAGTGTTTTTCATAAATAATGCAGATGTAGATTCTGTGATAAATTCAATTTCTCTGATGGGAAAAATGTATGCTAAATGGTTTGACCACTGATCACACAGGAAGACTGACACACACTACAAGCAATGAAAGAGTTAAAGGGTGGTAGCTAATTAAATTAGGCCTGCACAACTTAATGAGAAACAGATCTTGTAAAAGGACATAAGGAATCACTTCATTAACATACTTGTTGCTTATTAAACATAGTTATAAAGATTCCCTCACAGACTTCTGTAAAACAGCTGATTTAGAATCTTCACTAGACTCAGAAACTAGCATATGCAAAGGAAAAAGTGTAAAATTAAAACAGGCTTATAGATATGAAAAACACATGTTGGGAACATTGTGATCAGAAGATAAGGTACACTGATATCTGTTCCTGAGGTACTGCTAAGGGAAGTTAGAAATAAAAGACAAAGTAGACCCATAAATCTTTAAAACTGACTTACTGTAAAACAAAAACAGTGGATAGTGACTAGGCAGTAAGTAAGATATTGTACATATTTTTTGTTTATGCCATGCTACATATCCAAAATAATGTTATCAACTAACATTTACTTCTAAAGAATTGCCATCCCAATTAGAACACAGCCTTCAATACTTTCTCTCTTCATCTTTTCCTATATAATTACAGGGTTAGCTTCTGGCCCCTCTGCCCTAAACACATTATAAAAATATAGAAAATATAACAATTTGTTACAAATGCAGTTGCTTTCAAATAATAATCTTCACAGTACTACTGTGAGACATAATTAGGGTGATCATTTTAGGAGAAAACTCTAGGCAAATATCAAAGATCCAACTTGAAAAAATCCAGGATCAGACCTGCTCAAAACACAGGCCTAACTAGAAAAATCACGGCTGAGTTGTCCTCAACTACAAAATGAAAAAGAAATATTTCACCTTGAGCATTTAAAAACCCCAGAACAAGTACCCACTTACTGAAAAGTGAGAGAAGGAAATCATCCCGCATCAGACACTAAGCAGTAGAAACATTTTCCTCACAAACCTACTATCAGGCTTAACTGTAAGAATTTCTTCCCTATGCTCCTCCATGCACTATAATTTGTTCCAACTTTAACAAACAGGGTCATAGTGTGACAAATAAAAGCCTCCTTTACTACCCACTCATCTGTTACCAGGGCAACAATCTGTGCATATACTGAATGAGACAAGAGTCATCTGGAACAATACTATGCAATTGTGTACTACTGCTATCCTGTAATACAGAAGTACAGGAGCTAACTTCTCCGTGCTTATATGCTCCTAATTTTTGTTTCAGAGGATACTGTGGTGAAGTGCTTGGGGCTTTTTTAAGCTGTTGGGGAAAAAAAGCAAAACTCCTCTTTTGTTAGCCAGCGTTAACCACCTTGTCAGCCGTGAGCAGGGCTGCAACATCCAGAGCTGCAGCAGAGAAACCCACAATGAAACAGTGTAACACTTCGCCATGGAACATTTCCCTCCTCCAGCACAGCTTACTAAAGAGCAATTTGTAACTGCTGCTTTAAGATTACCAGCAAGAGAGAGATCATGAATTTGGCAGCACTTGAACTGCATGGAAGAATATTTTTCAGTAATGACAACCCAGCCACTCTGCCTGCCTACAATCTGAATTTTAATATGTCACCAGTTTATTAGGAGGCAGGGAGGGGGGAAGGAGCCAGATAAACTGCTTAACTGTGGCCCCTAAGCTCTTCCGTTTATTCACCCATTTAAAGATTGAAGGCTGCACAACTTAATCTAAACAGGTTTGCTCTTCCCACCTGCTCCCTGAACATCAGCAGGCATGATAACAACCTAACAAAAAAAGCAAGTTAGCTCTTGCACAGAAGATCAGTCATTAGGAGAAAAATAAGTAAGAGCAGCCTTTACTATATACAGAGCACTAATAGTTCTGCAGGAGCAGCACTCTTCAAGTGACGGCTGAATTTGGAAAGCAAAAAAACCCAGTTCAACCCCCAAAACACAAAATCTGAAAGGATCCATATAGCTAAGTCTGGATGGATTTTCACACAGGCAGAACACAGCATTTATCTGCCATTCTGGCAAGCTCCCTATCACATTTCTAATTGCTACGACGACAGCAGACTCAACTCCTCAAAGCTAAAGTAATGGACAAAAAATAATTCTTATTTTCTTGAACATTTTTCCAAACACCTGCATTCCATTTCTCTTTAAAAACTTTCTCAACAATAATAAGTCCGAGACAGAACATTGAAAATGGAAAGATACAAAGTGGAGTAACTTGAAAGCTACAAGCAACTAAGAAAAAAATCTGTCTTTTGGAAAATGTTAGGTAACCTTAAGTACAGGTGGTACAATCTGAGCCAGCTACAAGAAAGAAAGGCAAGTTACACAAAGCAGTCCAATGTTTATGAGTTGGGACTCCTCCAATTATGCATCTCAATTCAGCCAAATGCAAGGTCAGATATCTAGGAACACAGAACAGAGGTCACACTTACAGGATGGAGAACTGAACCCTGGAAGTCAGTGACTCTGAAAAGAACAATGGATCATACTGGATAATCAGCTTAACCTGAGCTCACAGCCAGCTTCTGTGGCAAGGAGTCCACAAAGACACTGGATATTTCCACACCAAAGTATCAAGCCAGCCCTTGTCCCTGTCACTACCACAAAAAGATACTGAAATGAAGAAATGTTCAGAAAAAGGTCACTAAAACCAAACCAACCGACACAGAAACATCCTCAAAATGAGAATTCAGAGCTTACTGAATTATTTTACTCAAGTAAAGCCTATGCCATGGTCTGCAAGTAGCTATAAGAAAAAAACATAGAACTTACTAATGGAGCAATACCTGGACCCAAAGCTAGTCAAATTTGTATAGTAAAGGTACATACTTTCAAGATTGGCTGAAACTAAATTTGTTAACATCATTACTATTTCATCACCCAAAGTCTTCAAAGCAAGATTATATGTCTGAAGTACATCCTTGTTTAAATACAAGTTACAGACTTCAAATGGAAACTACTGAATCAAATGTTTGGTCTGTGCTTTATAATGATCCCTGTGGGCCTTAAAGAATATTCATCTATGCTGTAAGGAGCTTGGAGAACAAACTATAATTTCTACTAATGCTTTATCTTCAGGAGATACAGGCACACAAACTTTTCATATCTAAAGCAATTATTCAAACAAGGCTCCCTGAATTCCTCAATAGACAGAAATATACCAATTTGTTCTCTGTTAGAGAACAAAATTAATTATCTCATTAGCTATGGTTAAGTATATAATTTCCAGAAAGAGAAAAATACAATACTTGCTTAGGTAACTTAACACATACTAAGCACAAAGCAACTGTTGTGTGAAATTGCCATATACTGCATTTTCTCCAGAGGCTTTCTTACAGGATAGCCTTGTTCCTTTCCAGAGAAGGGAAAAAAAACCCCAACAAAACATGAAATAAACAAAACAAACAAAAAGTCAAACAAAAAAGCCTCCAATTCCACAAATTAACACACACACAAAATTCAACACTGTTTTCAATCTTTACCTGTTCCTGTACATCTTCAAACTCTGAACTAAGCAGCTCTATGAAGATGGGGACAGCTCCTGCTTGGATAACTATTCGAGTCTGAAGGGAATTTCCCGAGGCAATATTTGTCAGCACCCACGCAGCTTCGAACTGGAAAACAAAATACAAGTCAGTTTACTAGGAGCTTTCTATGCCACACCAAACATGGAGACTAAATGTCTTCTAAAACCAGAGAGATATGGCAGATTTGCCACAGGGAAAATATGAGACATTACTAATTAAAAGACAATTTGCAAAGAACTAGAAGCATGTATTTAAGAGTTATCACTATCACTTGACACAAAAATTTGCAGCAGTTCCTTATGAGAACATTGGGTTGGCTGTGGCTTTTCAATTTTTTTTTTTTTGCTATGCATTTGTGTTACCTTTGCCTTTCTTACTGGCTAAGAACCTCTACATGAAACAATGTGCTTTCTCACAACAAGGCACCTGCATTCACTGAATCATCAGTGATATTCCTGAAGATGCAGAAGAAATTGTTTGACAAAACTTCATGGACATGAAGCAAATAAAAGGTCTAAAAGAGATTTAAAAAAACCAACCAAACAAAAACAGATTTCCAAAAAACAGCACAAAGAACTTATCTCCACCTCTGGTGATCAGTACTGATGCCAAATGTTATTAGTGTATGATGTTTTTATTCATGAGTTGAAGAAGAAGTGAGATCCAGACGAACACTTTTGCATTTTCAACTGTTTTTGTCATTTATTATTTTAAAGTCAACTTGCAAAAGCATTAACTTTTTAAGACGAAATGCAAATTTTAACCCTACCTCAGGCCTCAGAAAACACAGATTCCAGAAATCCATGTTTGAGTAGGCTTCTGCATGCTTTCAGCCCAAAGATTATTACACTACTTTAGCAAATTTACATCTTATTAGGTACATTCAGAATCTATAGAATTAAAAGACTGCATAAAGTTGAATGAAAAGTAAAAACCAAGAAACAGTAAAAATGGGAAGTTGTAAGCTATAAATGAATGATTTTGACATTACCAAAAGATACTGATCCAGCAGTATTCCAGTGGAAATACTGACATACCTTCAAAAACAGTCTGTCTCTGTCTGAAGAGATAGAGCAAGGATTTATATTTGGGGTTTAGTTACAAAAACAACTCCTGCTAAGGAGTTTCACCAAATCCTGCAATGTGCCTGAAATACGAACTCAAGAATTAAGCTTAGACTTGTAAGGCTTTTCATTTCTAAGTGTTGTTAAAGAGTTTGGTTTTGAAAATACAATGAATCAATACAACTAATGCTATACAATTAATCCTGCCCTTCTGATCAACTGAACATTCTAGTAAGATGTGATCAGAATAAACAATTCCAAACTACATCACTGCAATGCACAAGGAGTATGGTTTGCAAAATAAAGTAGCAACAAAGTCAAAACTGCAAGATTCATCATTAATAAACCAGAAGCAAAACATTGTGACCAGAACCTAAGGCCAACACAAAATGTTGCTTTCCTGTAATTCTACTTTCTCTGAAGCGAATATCCAGTGTTCTGTGTTATGTTACAATATAACTATTACTCATCTTTCAACCACAGAGGTCTCTTATCCATATTTTAAAGTTTGTCCTCCAGCTTCCTACTGGTACCACCAGCCTGAACAATTCACAGTTTGGAGACTCACACTGTCTCAAGTCACAGAAGGATTAGAGAGTGACAGTTTCTCTCCTCCTTCTCTGCAGACACCTGATGCTCCAGGATGTATAAACTAAGGAACAGTCACACAAGACAGAAGAATTCCTAACAAATTAGGCCTTCCTATCACTAATCTCAGAGGCCTAGTTTTTACAGGATATTCCATTAACAACACAGAAGAAAAACAGACCATAAATTCCCATTAAGTCCCAAGTTCATTAACATGGAAGTTGCCACATTCAATCCATCATACAAGCAGCAATAAATTACACTTCACTGTCTCAGAACAAGTTGAAAATCCTTTCCTTCTAGGCTAGGTCAGAAATGCCTAGAATGCCAAGACCAAAGGAATATTTTTGGAAACAATGACAGAACAAATAAAAACATTAAAAGGTGAGTTCCAGAAAATTTCCCAGCTGACCACAGCAAAAAACTCTGCCTGCGGACGCCAAATTGCCAATCAGGCAGAGAGATTCGGCAAGATGGAGGAAAATTACCGAGGTAGAATGGAGTATCGAGAGCAACATACTCAAGCTTGTATTTTCACTACTTTCCTACCACTTCTTTAGGCCAAGCTTGCACATTTCCACTCTGACTGATTTTTCCCATTTAATGTAAAAATCAATAAATGTTGCACCAATAAGGCCAAAAGAATTGCTTCCATTTATCTGCCTTAGGTTTCTATGCTTGACCCCAATAAGTAATAAAAGGTTTTGTTTTGTTTTTTTTTACAACACATAGCTTACAAATCTTCTATTGGAGTTGCAAACCATCCAGCTTAAATCTGGTACATATTCTTAGTTACTGTCCCCAGACTCCTCAAAGGAAGCTAACAGACCTCTGGAATTCAGCGGATAAAAATCTGAAAAGTAACATCTGTAAATGCTTTCTCTAATGTGTAAAAAAGCAAATTTTTTGCCTATTTCCACTCAACAAAATCTGGATTTCACATGGCATTCATAAACCAGTTTTCTTATGCATTTTGAAAGAATACTGATTGTAATCTATGTGTTGTATTTAAAGGTTACATGTTAACATATTTTTTCCTTAACTAGATCTAACTTTCTATTAGCCAAGAAAGACTGACCAGAAAAACACACAGCTGGAAATAAGACAAAGGTAACAAAAAATTAACCACCATTGTAGCACATATAATTCAGTTTTATCAAACCACAGTAAGGTTTCCAGCTTTCTATGCTTACCACTACAGATTGTATTCCTAATTCTAAACTTTTAATCAAAAATTTAAATCCTAATTCTGAAGATTTAAAACTACCTTCAATTTGTACAAAAAAAAGACAAACATTAAAGTTTTGTTTAATAGCTTTTCATCTGTTGAGTTCCAAATTTCAAGCTCTGTATTTGCTGAAGTCTGAAGACCCCATCCTATCAGTCACTCAATGCACGTCAGACATCTCTCTCTCTCCTGTCCTGCACCCAGAGGTCTTGCTAGAAATTCTGAAGATAAAATAGCTTTTTTAACATAGTGAAGAAAGACAGGAAGTATAGCTGAACAAATCACTAATTTTTTCCTATATCTAATTTGCATCACCAAATGCCTTCCTAAACCAGGAATGCAGATACATTTATATTTTTATACCTGTAATGTACAGTTTTCTTTCCGCTTCAGGAACTCCACAAACCTGGCCACTACTCCTTGTGTGCTTATGACTTCATCTATCGGAGGATTTGGTTCTGTTTAAAATAAGAAGTTAGATACACTCATTTCTTTGTAAGGAAATTCTCAAATTATTGCATTAAAACAATATCCAGTGACATACTGACTGCTCTTTTCTTGGAGTGTGTTCTTTTTCTACAATACTTCACTAAAAGGCAACGGATTCCTATCTTGTCAACATAAGAAAGCTCCGGAGTTTTGAGGTAATAAGCTAATGTGATTCAAAGCACTGCTGCACTCAGTAGTTTAGGCAGACTGATTTCAGAGCAGCAGCTCTGTGCAGTCACTCTGGCATGCACACATGCAGAGGACCTTTGGTATATCAGCCTGTTTGGGCACAGAGACACCACCTCCAACATTTAAACTTACATCCAAGGGAGATCTAACATCTGCAACACTCAGTACACATTTCAAGAAAAGAAGTGACTATTACATTCATCAAGCTGACATTGTGTCAAGCAGAGCTTGACCCTGAAATTTCAGTGTGAAACTCAATTTTTATTGCTGTCAAAGTAAAACCACATGCTAGGGAGCCTTCTACATTTTTCTCTAAGTAATTTCAGCCCTTACCTTTAGAAAGCAGCTTTCGGAACTTCTGGGTGGCTGAGAGCTGCTGCTCTGGACTATTGGAGAAAATCATCTCAATCATATCAGCAGTGATGACTGCACTCTAGGATTTACATGGGGAAACAGAATGAGGGTGATAGAGAGCAAAAGGGGAAAAAATCTGGAATTAGTGACATATAGGTTACATTTGCTAAACCAGTACAAAGTTTATTTCTTATGAATAAAAACTTAGGTAAAACCATTATGGACAACAAAGGAATCGTTATATATGAACATCTACATAAGGCAGCATCATTCTCAAATGCAATTGGCTTTAATGAAAGCCAAAATTCAAATTTTCCTCAAGATATGGCAAGAAAATTACTGTTCAGAATTTTTCACTAGTATTCTCTCCCTCCCTCTAAAATAAATGTAAAATTGTCAGCTTTAACAAAAAGTAATTATGTTAGCATTTAGACTTCCCTGAGATGTACATTTTGACTTACTCTCTTACACCAAAATGTATAAGACCTGTCATTTCTAGAAGAGTTGACAAACCCTAATGCTTGTTATCAACACCAAGTAGAGGTATTAAATTCTCCATAATACTGACAGTTTCCAATAATATGAACAAATTAAATCAGCAACCTTTCTTATGCTAGGAAAAATCTGACATTCTGTTCACCACACATGTACCCATGTAAAGAAGCATAAAAGTCAGATTTTTTTCTTCCACTTCTAATCTAATCTTCAGATCCATCTGATCAAACCCTTAGACAGACAGGGAGACAGATGACAGTGCTGAAAATACCTAAGCATTGTCTATAACAGCCAACAGCTCCAACTGTTAAGAGCCTGACATTAATGGCATTTAAGACAGCAAACTGTAATGACACTATCTATCAATTAGGCAAAAGCCTTTCCTTACTTTTTACTCTCTATTTGTTTAATATAAGCTTCCACACTAATGATTAATGGTATTTAGGACTTGCCTGATATTTGAATACTATCTTGAAGAGTAAGACCATATATTCTATTATTGATCTACCACACTGTTTATAAGCATCTCTCTGTTTCCCAGTAATTTTCAAGGCTCATACAGATACCAATAGCTCAGCCTGATTTCTAGGGAAACATCACTTGCATACTCTGAACACAGACACTGTGAAAATCAGCAACAGTTTTAACTGAGAACTGCACTTTCTTTAAACTTTTCTGTTGTAGAACTGAAACCTTTACCATTTTTCTTTCCACAGAGAAAGTAAAAAAGTCTAATTCCCACAAAAGTATTTTTCTGTAGTTTTAAATTCTAGCACAGAAAGGGGTTCAAGACCTCATGCAGACAGTTAAGCTAGGTCTAGCAGCGTTTCCAACACTTAGGTTAAAAATGGTGCCACTTGAAAGTCTGCTAAGAAAGCTTTCCACTGAGCCCCTCTTTAAATTTGTAAAGTGCAATAACACACTGCCTGATTTGTATTTTCATATTTCAATCAGTATGAATTTCAGATTAATAAAAACTCTGGGCAACAGTTGATAGAATCACCCATAATGGTGAACACTAAATCCAGGAAGTGATCAGCCTGCCAGGACAATGACATTTTATTGTATTTTCTTGAGCACAAATCCTCTGAAAAAACACTCACGATATGTCCCTGGCATTTTTCTCTCATGTAATCTTTTTCAGGGTGGTTCATTGACATGGGTGTTTCAGAGTTGTCCATCTCTGAATGCACTCTTCACATCATTCTGGAATTTCATTTCAATCACATCACTGCACAACAGATTTGCCCAGCTTCAACCAACACTGTATTCATTTCTCATCACTTACAGAAGTCATCTCCATGTTGTTCATCTGAGCCTCATGGAAGCCCCCATCTGACATCACTTCCTCCTCCGCTTCTTCCTCAGCCGTTGCAACATTTCGGCGTTTAAACAACTAAAGAGAGGAAGTATTTAACATATATATATATATATATCTAATATACATAGCTAATATACACATAGCCAATATATACACAGCATGTTGCATTAGGCTGCTATAAAAACTACATATGCTATCACCTGAGAGAAGGCAGTACACTGGCTACAGCACTTCAACTGACAGCACATGGAGAAAGCTTAGCCATGGAGCAAATGAAAACAGCAATGTGCTAAAATATTGGTTCCTAACAGTTCTGGAAAACTATTCATTGATGTGCCCTTCTCTTCTTCACCATCTGCCTCCATCTAAAAGCTCTCTAGCTTCCACACCATTGCTTTCTTGCAGAGGATGCTAGGGTTCTGAGACCTGATAAAATCCTGTGTATTAAACATCTTCATAGAACACCTGCAGGGGCTCTGACAGTCGAGTTACAGCAGCAAAGAGGGCTCTGGAGGATGATTATACATAGGTTATTACACTGGGATGAGCAGAATTTGGCTGCTATGACTTAGACACGGTACCCAGTCGAAGATGTCCTGAGAAGAGCTGGAGAGGCTACAGCTACTGGTCAGACAGTTTTGTTCAAACCCTCAGGCTGCTCTGGCCAATGTTACTCTTGAGTGAATGAGGGGCACTCATTCTATGTCTTGCAGAGCCTGCAGAAGAGGCAGTTAAGTGTGCAAGTGATTCTGATTTCAGACTGACTGTGTATGAATTTGGAGGGCAGGAACAACTAAGAAGGGTTTGAGAGAAGCAGAGTCAGAGACACTAAGGACTGTTTAAGGACTGGTCACAGATATCTCAGCTGCTGTGCCTTACCTGCTCCTCTCTCTTTTGCTTCCGTAGCTGAAGGCCCTCTTCCTCCCGCCTGCGACGCATCTCATCAGGGTTTAGAGATTTGTTCTTGTAGCTCTTCAGCCGGAAATTCTCTTTTCCTGAGGTCGTCATGATTCCTTCACAATACAATTTAAAAAAGAAGACAAAATTACTCTTCAACAACACATGATTTTATATTGTGTCCACTCCTTAAACTCTGTAGCCATGAACTTCCAGCCACTGCCCCCCTATATTTCATCACCTAACTTCTAATAAAATTTAGAAGGTGGAAAGCAAAATTTCACAGAATTGTCACTTCGGTGTGGCACTTCAAGTGTCATTTCAAGTTCTTTACATCAGCTCAATAAACTTTTATTTTATCATTTTGAGGCACTGGAGATTAAATAAAATATTTTACTAAGAACTAAGGTCTATAAGGCAGAGTATATAGTGTGGGCTAAAAAGAAAACTATACTAAAAATTTTAACGTTGCTCCACACAGAGAATTAGCCAAATTACATACACCTGCTTTTACTCAAAAGTAAAGATGTCTTAGCTGCTTTTTAGCTTAATTTACTTTGTATGTCAGTAGAGGGGCTTTTTTTTTCCACACTTCATAGCCAGCATTTTAAGCTAATTCAACACAACCCTGTTGAAACTTGAAGAAACCCTCTGTTCTTCCTATCCAGACAAGGGCTACAAGGAAATTGAAACAAAAAAAGAATTTTAGGTGAAGATGGTTTAACTATTGAAAATGCTCAGTCCTGCAAAGAAAGCTATGCTATTGTTCCCCTCTCCCCCACTCCCCAATCCTGCCACTGTTTATGCAGAGGGGCCTTTTTTCAGCCTGTGATTTCCATCTGTCTTATGTAACTCAGTGGGTCGGCATTTATAGCTGCCCATGATGATTTGCACATGTACAACACCACACTTTGGAGTCACTTAGCATAAAGCAGTAGGTGGAGAACTGTGTGGAAAGAACTCATTCCCCTGAAAGCAATGGGTGTGGATCAGGTCTCTACTCTTAGTGCTCCATTCTGCTGCTACTTCTCTCCTTACATCATCCCTTTAAAACCAAAAGAGTTTGGGAATCAAATGCTCACACGTCAGTGTTTCCATGCATCTTCACAGAGATGCAGAGTCTCCAACATATTGTAAATCCTGTAACACAGAATTTAGCAAGCTGCACTATATAAAAAGTTACTCTACAAAGTACTTTCAAATGCTCTAATGTGTTGTATTAAATAAGCTACCTACTTCAAATTCCATAAGCACAGAATCACCAGATGATAAATGATCTCCTGTGCATTTTCTACTTTAAAACGAAGCAACATGAGTCTGTACAGATTCTCAACAGCTTAGGTTTCCTCTTTAAAATACACCAAACATCTATCGAGTCGACTCTAACTACTCTTTCAGTTAGCACAAAGAGTTGCAAGAGAATAGTAGTTTTTAAAAAGATACTCAAATATGCTTCTTGTTAGAGAGCCTCTTTTTAAGTTGCTACTACCTGACAACCATTTATAAGAATTCTGGTGATCAGAACTGACGTTCACAGAAAACATTTTGGACATCACTTTAAGTGTTACTGTATTCTGACAACTGAGATTCAAAAAACTGTTCAGGGACACAGAACCACTACATTGATGGTCATTCACAGATTGCACCAAATGCAACATTAACAACCTGAGCATATAGGTAAACAATTCTGCAGCCTAATTTGGCTGAAAAGACTCTCCTGAAATGGCCTTTTTTTAATAAAGGTACGACAAAAAAATAAATCTCACAGCACCAGAAGTTCCCTACATCTTTCTTAACAGCTTTAGACCCCTTTCTTCCTGTGTTTACATGTCTGCACTTCAAGTGTTTGTGTTTCTTACAGTATGCATGGCAATTATATGTCCTTCACATTTTTAGTTTAAGTGACTACTACCTTCACATTAAACACACACACTATTTAAATAAGCCAGGATTTTAACTGTAAAAAGAAGTTCAGTCAACAAACTCAAAACTTCTTGCATTCCTAAAATATTTTGAACAAAGTATTTTATATATTTTAGAATAAGCAAGTTGAACTCCAACACCAGGTGGACAATCATGAGCTAGAAGGACATTCCTAACAGGCAAATGGCTTTGCAGACACTCTGGTCATTCAGTTCCTGACCATGAATAAACACAGGCATACACTACAGCCCAGATAACATCTCAGGCCTTCCCCAGTGTTATTAAAAAGTCCCCATTTTTGTCTGAAGTCTGTCTTCTCCAACTCATGAGACTGTATTTGCCTTTATTAGGGATTTCAGGCCTTTGATAACTCCTATGGTCATTTCACACCTTCACTTTCAACACCTACAAGTTCTTAATTTAATTGAATTCTTGACAGGGAACATCTTTATCTCTTAATACTGAATTTCATCTAATTTCTATTATGCAGCCTCCATATAATGTTCCAATGTTTCTAAACATCAGTGACACAACCAACTTCATCTATGAAGGAAGTAAGTTTCCTTAAGTGTATTCTTCCTTACTGTACTTATTAACCCTTCCCCCCCCCCATCTCCCAGTTTGCATACTGATTTTCTTCCAATTAATTTTGCTTTAAGATAATAATTTCCATTTTCCTCTCAGAGTTCTCTTAGCTCCTCCTGTTGTACCCAAAAATCACTGTTTCACTCACTCATTGAAAATACAGGTACGGGAAATACTTGAATTCTTTCACTGACTTTACTGCAAGCTCTCTACCCAACAGCTTCACAGATATTATCTTTCTTACACCCTCTACAAGCTGTAGCTGCAGGTTTTGGTTATGCTTATTTCTAACTTTCAAGACAGCTCACAGCTGACTAACCCCTTCCTCTACTTCATTAGTAAACTGTACACTTAAAATCCTTTCAAAATAGTATACTGTCCTTTACCTGGGAGTACAAACACCTACCACCAAATGACTGGGAAGAGAGTTTCTTTCTTAAAGGTGAAAAGGTTAAACTCTCTTCATCCTGAGAAGTTACCAATCAAACTAAAGATGGGTTCAATACCTTATTTTATACTAGGCCATCACTGGTAGTAAATAAAATCCCAGCACACAGCCACGCACCTATTTTATAGACCTGCCTGTCTAATCTCTTTAACTGTTAAGCCCACAGTTATTTTCTAGAAGCAATTCTGACATCTTGAACATACCTTAAAATCAATGTTTTCTTTACCATTCATTTACTGGTTTCCTGACTACTGGTGAAAAATTCAACGAGTGCAATTCCATCCAGCCCACACATAGTGACAGCATCTTTGGACCTATTCAAATGTGTGAGCACACAATGGCTTTTCAGGACTAAAAATGTAACAACTCTGTTAGTTGTTACAGTCATCCAAGGATTGTTTGCTATAAATCTCCTCCTCCATTTTTGAGGATGTAGGTTTTTCCCCAGACTAAACCACAGAAGCAAAACAACCTCAAATTGTCTCTCTGGTCTTCAGCAGCTTTCGTGTGACTTAGCTGAAAATCTTTCAGTGGTTACTTCAAGTTCAACCTAGCAGCAAACAGCATACCCTCGATCTTCTCTGCATTGTCAAAATTAATGCTACTTCTGGAGAAAATCTGTGGTGGTTGTCATGGAAATGTTCTACCCATCTTTTCTTTCCTAAAGATAGCACAGCATTGTCCACATTTTTTGATACTCCTGGCTACAGATAAAAACCTCTGGAGACCTGGTAAGGAGTTTTCACAGTGTATTTCTTGGGTTTTTGTGCAACACCACTCAAGCCCCATATGACACTTTATCCTTCTCAGTTTGTCTGCATAAAAACAAATTTTAGCAAAATTAAACTCACTATTCCTGGATGTCTGCATTTCCATAGGCCAAACATGATCCCAATTTTTTTTGCTGATTAAGACAAGAACCATACTGAATTTGGATGTATTCTAAGCACACATTTTTAGGGGAAATAAGAAGTTCTGCATTTCTCCTTGCTCATCAAGTCAAAGAAATTCTGAAGCACTGGGAAACACAGTCACTTACTGCCATGACCTACCTTGTCCTAAGCAATCATCTAGATAGGAATAAAAATTAACTCCCTGCCTTCTTAAATCAGCTATCACTGTCACTAGACTTAAGGGCTTTGCCAGAAGGAATACCTTGTGACTAATACTCTTGGATATTTCACACGTCAGAGGCACCGAAATGTAAAAATAAAGTCCTTACAAATCAAGAGCTGTACAATTATATATAAATATATTCCATTTGTTTTACATATGTAATAGCATATATGTACCATACATGTACCATATTTCATTATATATACATAATGAAAGTAAGATTACCAAATACACTCCGATATTAAAGACTATTAGAGACAGACTTTCCTTCTTTGGAAATAGGGGCAAGAATACAAAAAAAAATGCATTTCAGAAGTGTAGATCTATATATGACAGTCTGCCTCACAATGGGAATAGGTCAGAAGAGGAAGACTTGAAAATTAAGGCAGAATAAGAGTTTAAAGAGAAACAGTGTGATAAAAAATTATCAAAATATCCATGATTTGCCATATTATGAGAGTACATTTCCTAACTGAGGTGGCTGTCAGAAGGATAGGAGTCACTGCAGGCAGACTTGGGAGCTCTGTTGTGCTGTCCCACTGCTGTCTCTCCTTTAGATTGCAGCCAGAGAGACACAGAAAAGATACAAGAGGCACCATCAGCCCTGAAAGGACAACTCGTGTTAGAAATGGCACTGTCAAGCAGTCAGAGAATATGGAATTATCTAAGGAAGAAAAGCTTTACTTCCAAGGAGATTTTAGTTTGTTTACTGGCTCTGCCATGAAATTCTACATGTCCTGAAGAAGAAGTTTCCTCACAATCACACTTCTTGACATCAAGCCAAATACCTACAGCACAACCTGGACAGATGTTTGAGCAATTCACTGAGCTCTGATTACAGGACACATCACCTTCTAACACTCTTCTGTGTGAGACCAGATAACCTATCCAATTCAAAAAGCCAGCCTGAAAGCAGCACTTGGTCATTCACTGCCCTCATTGAGCACATCCTCAAAAAAAAAAAAAAAAAAAAAAAAAAAAAAATCAGTATTTTGGCCACAAATGTGTCTGGGTTTTTTCCCCTACAAAGTGTAGATTTTGGAA